AATGCAAATTCTTATGTAACGATAAACAAATACTTAAAGAGTTTTGTTATTGAGAGAATGTTAGTTTTTTTATTTATCTGCTTAATTCAAGCCTCTCTGACCAAAAGGTATTACCCTCCCACAAACGATCTGCAGATTGGAGATAGCAGGTTAGAACCCTTGCATTACCCTGAAGGCATCTTTGTAATCCTTATCTTGTGTTATTTGTTCTTAAATTTTTAACAGCACTGCAGAATAAGCACATAAACACGGTTAACAAGAGAATCAATATTGAAATGAATAAAATAAGATTCCAGAGTAACAAGATAAAACAACATAAGCTCACCTTGATTCCCTGAAATCTTATTTTATCCATTTGAATGCTCATTTCCTTGTTAACGACATTAGTTCCTCTCCATCTCTCCATAGCGCGCTAAAAAATGCATTTAACCCTGATTTGCCTTTCGGCCACTATGTTTTTTCTTGCTCTGTTTTTCCTCTTTTTTTCTCCCTCGGTTTCAGTGGCTTTCTAGTTTTTGTTTCTTACCTTTATTTTTCCATTTTTATTGGGAACTTTGCATTTTATATTTCTAATCACTTTTGTTCCTTCTGATTCATGTCTGGCATATCTTGAAAATAGAGCCTGTTTTTGAGAGCTTTAAACATGTCGACTGCCATTTCAATTTTGTATGTTTTTGAAGAGTTTGACGTTTACTATCAGGTACTATCTTACCACTTCAGTTACTTGTGATTATTTATTTAATTTGACCTCGCCAAACTATTGAACCCAGCTACCACCACGGTTTGGTGAGAGTACAATCCCACTCGGTCACAAAAGGCCCAATTTTGTGAGAAGCCGGAAGAGCTGTATTAATATCACCGCACTTTTGAGTGCTGTATCTAAAAGCTGTTCGCGTATATGCTGCAATTAGCAGTCGAGTGTATACAGGCCGACTTTGTGTGTGATCGAGACTGAGTAGCAACAGAAGGAGGAGGAGGTGGATAATGTTGCAGTCACAAGTAGCAAGTCAACTGTTCAATGTGGACCATCCTTCTTAGTGGAGTGTTGAAATCGAAGTGGGAGTTTCCGTCTAGGTAAGTGTATTAACATCACGTCCGGGTCACCAATGTGGAGAGAGTTGATATCGACAATGTAAACCTTCTTGTATGAAAAGGAGAGGAACTAATATTAATCGAATTTAATTTGGATTTGATTAAATAAATTAAATCAGTCTCTCATGTTACAACTCAGCTAATTAATCCCAAAGAGAAAAAAACTGTCTTAAATATGTTTATTTATTTAATTATAAAAGTCTTTGACAGATACTAACTTCTCTTATAGTTAGTTTCTTTCCCTAATTTTATCGAACTTATAAGGACAAGCTAAAAAAGATGACATTATGAAATAAATATTCTGTAAAAAAAAATTGGATTTAAAATTATTATTAGAAATTATTATTATTAGAATTATTATTAGAATATATTATATTAAGATTTTTATTAGAAATTACTATTATTAAAATTATTATCAGAAAATTATATTAAAATTATATTAGCTTCTACACGTTTCACTAGTATGAAAACACAAATTACTCTACCTAACTCCATTGTAAGCTGAGAAAAATGTATGTTCAAAACTTCCCGAATATGGTCAAATTTACCGTACTTCAGAGTCTATCGAAACACCAAAAAAACCGGTAATTTTTACCGACACGCTTTGGCAATGATTTTTCAAAACTAATTATAAAATACGGTATTACATGTGATAAAATTTGATAATTTAATTTGGTGTATCGTAATAAAGTATGATAATTTGATTTGATGATACTATGATTGTTTTTCATGATACACCAAAACACTGAAAATTCAAACGAGCCAAGCTTTTTTGAGCTCCAAAAGCTCTTTAATTTTTCCCGAAGTACTTTGGAAATGATTATAGAAAAATTTACTGTCAAATATTGCTCTTTAAGTGATAAAATTTTGGAATTTTATCATGATACCTTATAGCATGTCATGAAATTTTTTTATTCTGTTAAATTGATTTTTTTTTTGATTTTTTACTAAATACGTAGTAATAAGGATTAAATTTTGAATTCCAGTACACCGTTATCACACAATCACACACTCATGTACAGGCACACATATTATATATTTATATATATTATATATACTTTATTTTTCAGAACATTTGGATGCTATTTGAAATATTATTCGTCAAATTTTAAGAAAAAGACAACATAAAAATTGAATGACTAAAATTTTATTTTATTTCCGTTAAATCAATTTATATTTTGAAGAAAATACATCATGCGATACACTTCAAAAACATGATCAAGCTCCTATGTATGCACAATGCTTTCTCATAAGGTTTATAAAAGTGTCGTAAACATCGTAGAAGGCTTTTTGAGTTTCTTTGGAGCATTTCGAAAATATTTGATTCACACATTGTCTAGAGCTATCAAGATTTCTGAAAATAAAATTTTGCATTTAGATTAAATTATGGTAAGTTCGTAAAATTACAATAATAATTATAATAATTACAATAATAATTATGATAATAATTATAATAATAATAATAATTATAATAATGATTATAATGAATCTAATTTAATGCTCAAGTTCAACTACTACTGTTCTCATTTTATTTTAGTTTTTAATTGTACAGCAGTGGATCATCGTCACTAATTTAAGACACGGATCCCAGTAGATCACCGAAGTCAAGCATCATTGGCTGCGGACTGTCAGCGGGTGGGTGACTACTTTGATCAGCTGACATTGGATATGGGATCCAAGGGTGTGCGGTACTGGTCCTCGTACCGTAAAGTACTCGTACCGTCGTTCTACCGTAAAGTGCTCGACTTTGCGTGCAGGTCGTAGAGCCAGCTCTGTCTCTGTATCCTCTGCAGAGGAACAAAATTGTGATGGTATGTGTTCGGATCATCTTAAGGGATGTTTCCCAGACTATCGCCAATAGCCCATTGTGCAGTTCTAGTGCAACGTAAATTAAGTACCTACCTACCTTAGTTTTCAATTAGACAGTTTCTATCTTAATGATTTTACTCAATTATAGTAGTTTTTCGTTTTATGTATATACTTATTTACAGTTACAGCTTTGCGTTATACTCATTTTCAAATATTCAATCATTGTATGTCTACTTATAAGAATTATACATACATGTACATTGTGTTATATTTACACTGCATGTCTATAGAGAGTTAGAACAACTGAGCTACATAAAATTCTTATACAATTGTTCCAACTCGATCATTTTACTTATTTACAGATTTAGCTCTTTTACATTTATAATCATTAACAATTTTTTTAGCATTAAATTTAATCTTAAGTATTTGTGTATATACTTATACATAATGTATAAACATTTACTCAATATATACAGAAAACTGGAACAAACATTTAACGTAAAAGAGTTATTGCTGTTATAGCTTGACGTTTACCTTTAATTATAATTCCAGTTTTATATTTATGTTCAACTCTACATGATCTTTCGTGTTCTTACTTAACTACAGTTACTCGAGTATTACGTTTATACTATTATGGTTATACTAGTATATGTTCTACTATCTGTGCATTTATACTCAGCTATAATGTTTTCTGAAATGTTAAACACAGGCTAGTTTTCTTTTAAGAAAGCATTTTCTAGCTTCATACTTGCAGCCTAGCTTTAATGTTTAAATTAATTTTTAATATTCATATTTGTGTAATATAACCAAAATGTTATTCTCTTTTAAATCGTAAAATTTAAACAACTAATGTTTTGTGGGATTTATTTACAACTATATTATGCTAGACGACTGAATAAAATGTTTCATAAATCAAAATAGTAAATATATAATATAATAATAATAATATTCTATAGCATATACATTTGTTTAAATAATAATATTTAAATTTGATTAATTATTTGTTTAAACAAATGCTACAATAATTTTCTTTGCATTTAAATTTGTCTAAAATGTAATTTTAAAAGAAACATGCAGACATATACATGATAGCTGACAAATCTAAAGAACAATAAATATTAAAACATTTTGACCAATTTTTCGTAGGAAAATGCTTCTTTAATATTAAGTTCAAACTTAAATTACACTCTTAAAACTTTTGTTGGGAGAAATATGCTGTTTAAAAAAAATGGAATAATTTACATGACATGTAAGTTTTTGAATTTAAAAAAAAATTAATCACAAGCAAACTGTGACTATTCTTTACATTGATTTGGCGCATTTTCTTGGTAAACACAGAGGGCGCTGCTAAATATGGATTAAATTGAACTTAAAAGTTGTGAGTAACTGCCGTGACTAAAAATAGTTATTAAAATAACCTAATATGTTTTAAAAGTGCTATTTAATTTGACGAAAAACCTTAGAATAACAGTTTTAATTGAAGTGAAATTAATTATAATTATACAAATATTCCCTTGTAGTTGCTGATTTTTTTCGGACACAGTTCTAAAAGTAATTTGAAAATTTTAAATTGTGAATAATAAAACAAAATTTACCTCATAAAGAAACACAATTTGTTTTAGATAGAAATCATTCATTTTTAAGAATTCTTTTTTTTTCTTTTTTTACTCACTTCAATTTGTTTCTCTTTTACAAGAAATATTTTTTATTTGTCCTGAATTTTTTTTTTAAATTTCAGTTCCTAATAACGTTTTATGATAAAATGTTTTTACTATCTTACTTAATGACATAAATTTTATGATATTTTTTATAATACTTACTTGCATAAACCACCTTCTTTTTGCATATCACAAGTTCTTGAAGCAATAAGAGTGTCAAAGCTACAATTTTTGTCCTCCATTACAGCTAAGAAAATATGCAAATTAATGTGTAAAGTTGAACTACGTATATGTTATCACATCCAATACATTTTGTTGCAATACACTCATTTTTATAAAAATTACAACACCTTAAAGGAATTATACAAATTAAACCAAACTTACATGAAATATAAATTGATGAAAGGCAATTAAATTAATGGAATTGCTATGTGATTGAGCATTACCACTACTTCGTACGTCTAATTGTACCACTATCACTAACATTTGGATTAAATCATGTAGAATTCTGTCAATTCCTTTATAGTGTTACAATTTTAACAAGCATTACAATAGTATTGAAACTAGAATCACAGCAAATTCAGCGCAAGACATAAATTATCTATATAACAATAAAATAAAACCTTTTTACGAACCACGTCTTTCAAGTAGTATAACAAACATAAAGTAGTTATTTAAATCGAAGTACGCAAAATGTATCACTATTTGATAGTAATTCGAAAAGTATTTCAAAAGTGAATCTCCTTAATTTTTTTAAGAGTGAAAAAAAAATTAGTACTCCTAATATTATTTTCAGTCCTTTTAAAAAGGGTAGTTTTATTTAAACTTTTTGTTATTTCCTTATTTTCTTTATTTTTGTTAGTTTCAAATAGTTATTTAATTAGTATTATTTTTCAGTTGGTTTGTGCTTGTAATAATTTGATATTTTGATTGAAAAAATTTTTTTTAAGAATTAAATCGCAAAAGTTCAGTTTTTATCCGAATGGAAATGATTATAACTTACAATATCATCCTACAATGAGAATAAAGGCATTTACAAAACTTCCAGAAAAAGGTACAATTTGCCGTGCTTATGGTTCCATGGGCTACAACAGCATGGCAGTTTTTACAGAAGCGTTTTGGTACTGATTTTGGTAAAATAATCCATAAAATATGGCTTTCTTATCTGTACTGAAGTATGGTTAATTTTGGTAAATTTTGGTAATTTTATCATGATACATTAGAGCATGACACAAAAACCCTTTATTCCTTTACTTTTCAGTTTCATATTTTTATACGAAATGTGAGGTAATTAGAACTAAAATCTTGAGAGCCAGAATTTTCGGTAACTAATTCCCTTATGAACATGAACTTAAAAATCTTAAATAAATGGTTTAAATACCGTATACTTTGATTTTTAATACCAAAAATGAGATTTTTTTTCCAGATAGGTTTACCACTCAGTACGTTAATTTTACCAAGATTTTTTTCTTCGTGCATACTGACCTACGATTTAAATTAGAGAACTCAAGCTAGTAGAAAAAGTGGTCAACATTATTATTACAGATTGATTGAATTAGAAAGATATTTAAAATATCACCATAATGTATTTTCGTTTCAACCATTTTCGTCATATAAATTTGAAAGTTCCCGTTTCTTCACAAATCACGTGATTTTGTAAATAAAAAATTCTCAAAAAAAAAAAAAAAANAAAAAAAAAAAAAAAAAAAAAAAAAAAAAAAAAAAAAAAAGTATAGCACAAAGATAGCTGAATCGTCAAAATTGAGTTTTACTTCTGAGAGTGTAGACATACTCAAAGAGAAATATGTCTTGCGTGATAATTATTTACCTAAAAGGTCACAGATTTCTAAAAACTCATGCTAAAGAGCAAGTTTCATGTTAGGACGTAAACTAACAGAAATTACAGCAAACTAGCAAATTTGTTTACTTTAAAAATCTGTGATATCATAAAATACGAGATTTGGTTTAAGATCACTCAAGATTCAGAAACAGATGATAAATGTCAAATGAAATTTAAAAATATCTTAAATTTGTGCCCTTTTCCCCACCATTCAAAGGAGACAACAGGCATTTTATTTGTTCTCGGTCCGCGTACACTAATCAGCTTAATCAGTATTTTTTAGAATAAAAAAGGGAAAAAATTGTTTTCAATTTTTTTTCCAATTATTTAGTTCTTGTCTCAAATACCATAAAACAAATATTCAAAAACATTCAATCAACTAACATCTTATGAACATCAAATTTCAAAGCCAGTTTAGTTTGAAAACTAGCGCTAATAATGTTGAATTCAATAAAAGAAATTCGATAAAAGAAGTATTTTTAAAGTAAATCGTAATGGCATTAAATGATATTTTTATAGAAAATGGAATATTCATAAGTAAGTTTTAAGGAAAATAAAACAACTTAAAAGAGATATTTTGAAATTCCTTTTTGTTTTGAGATTGACATTAAATTTGAAATAGTATTAAAATTACCTTTGTTGTAATCATGAAGGGGATTACATATTAACACTTGTACTAGAAGTGCTTGTGCAGCTTCATCCTCAAAACCAGTTTGACACAGGGACGCAGATTTAACCATGCACGCAGTCATATTTGGTGCAGATCTGAAAAGATTCGTATAATCTAATTGCGATCACAACAAATGATAAAAAATATTATAAAAATACGTTGTTAAACGGAATTAATTCTAGAATTGTTTCAAAGATTTCAGGATCAAAATATGAAAATCAAAAATTAAAGAAAATTTTTGATTTTCTACTCTAACAGAAAAATATGTTTATTTTTGAATCATGTTAGTCCCGTGAACTATAACGCGGGTAGAATTTGCTGCCATTTTCTTTCAAGTTTTAGACACAATCATGTTAAAGAAGTGTGGTAATTTATTTAACTTAACACAATATTAAGATTAGAATAAATTTGAACGATATTATAGTACACTGAATTTTATGTTAGGCAATTGAATCAAGTCTACAGAGGCTAGGTTTTATGCTGTATAAGTTTAGTCCAGTAGTTTTCGCCGTTATGATAAAATGATTACGATTTAATCACCAATTGGATTTATAATTATGATTTTCAATGACTACAAAGATTAAAAAATAATTTAATTTATTATGTTTTTCTCTTATTCCAAATTAATGCTTCTGTGTGCATAGTTTGAAGTATAAAGCTAGAGTTATAATAATAATAATAAAAAAAACACTTGCGGGCAAAATGAGTGCATCTCATCCTGATGTTTTTCACTCCATTCTTTTTG